AGAGTGTTATAGATTTAACTTCATGGAATCAATTTGGGATTGAAATAATCTCAGTGAGAAGAGCTTTCTGATTATAACAGCTAATGGTAATAATATAGCAGAAAATTTGGAAAGGAGCGTTCATTTACCTTATTTAATAGTGACAGTATGAATCATATTTTTCTCAGATATTTTCAATATACCATTAAGACAAAAGCAGTGAGAGATGGCATGCTTTCAGGCACCTTAGTGCCTTGAGAAAACAATACAGTATTTCTTTCTAATTCAATTTTCCAGAAAATAGAAAAAAAAAATGTTGTTTTAGTGGTTGTTGAATTCAAAAGCAGAACACAGCCTAGACTAAACTGTCTTATAACAGCAGGGATTGTTAGTAGTGTACTGAATCTTGAAGAAGGAGGAGTATTTTCTGATGTGATATGTATATATCTATGAGGTTGTAATTGAAAGCATTTTAATTATTTTTTTTGCTGTGGTTTTATTCTGCATCTTTGGGTAGGTGGAGAACACATGATTTAGAACAAATACCCACTTCTCTGCAGTGCTATTAAACAAGGAAAAATAGATATTCTTGGTTTCACAAGTAAGATTTGAAAGATATCCAAAGAGATTATTGCTTATTTCTGCTTCTGTCACACCCAAAGACTAAATTATATAATTCTACCTCATAGAGGACTCTTACTAAACATGTGGGTTTTTTTATTCTTTCTAACCGGAATGAGAGATGAGGGAAAAGTTTGTGATACACACATTTGATATTTCCTCAAATAGTCAAGCAAAAAGGACTGTAAATTCTCATGACACCAATAATCTGTTCTTTGTAGAATAACTATTTAGACATAAAAATAACTGTTTATGCCAACATCAAAATAAAATAGATCCATAAATAGTTCAGTGAATTGAATTGTCTAACTCACACACCCTTTTTGACTGTGTTTCCATCTTGGACATACTTGATAAGTTATTTCTAAAAGATTTCATAGTATAATTCAAAAGCATACCAGTTGTCCTTATGTGATTAGTTGGATTGGTTTTTTGTTTATATGTTTGTTTGTTTTACTATTTTATTTAAAATTGCACAACTGTATTTAGCTTCTTAATGCTAGCTCTATTGATTAGTTCTCTTCAACTCAAATTTACAAATACTTAAAGGCAGAAAATCAAACCATATTTGCAATACCAAAGCAGGGCAGAATGACTTAATATTGTAAGAAATAATAATAACAACATAAATGCCATTATTGTTCATTTTATTTATAAAGTTCCATTTGGTTATTACTGATTTTTCTCAGCATTTGTGATACAACTAGATTTCTGTATTTCGAAGATGCTAAAGTTAAATGAAAATAGGAATGACATTCCAGGTGAATTTGGCCATTCAGAGAAAGTACTCCCAAAAAATTAGTTCAATTAGTTTGGTGACAGTTCTACGCAAACATTCACCCTTTTCTGTCACCTTTAAAAGATATTATTGATTTGCGTCTATATTCTCTTATGATTTTTTTGGCTGTACACTAAAATACGTGTAATAAATTACATGTCAGCAATGTTGGTATCAGATTTCACGTGGTAGGCTAGATTTAAAAGCTAGATTTAATGAAAGCTGAGATCTATATTAATCTATGGTCAACTGAATGGGACAGTTAGAAGAAATTTTTAGTATACAAAGAAAAAAATGGGGCTTTTAGTAGATAGAAATACTCTTATTTTGACAAAAAAAAATATGAGTTTCATGATTTTTTATCAGTATTTAAACAGAAGACTTATACTGGTGAAATTATAATAAAGTCAGTTAGTAAGACTTTTCAAAATCAAGCATTCAAGTTTTTCTTTCTATGAGAGTTGGCTGAAATACATATATATATATACGTATATATATATATATATAATACTAACAGGTGCCAGAAAACCTTGGAACATACAAATATTTCTGAAAGACTGGAAGAAAACTACTGTGCCAATATTATGGATAATAAATGGGTAATTATAATCTGTCAACACTGGATTGATTCGTGGAGCAAAATAAAGTTGTTGATACAGATCTTAACAGAATAAAACAAAACATATGGATAATGCAATATAATGTAATGTAATCCCTCAAATTTTTGAGGGATTAGTATTTTGGTTGGTAAAAGTGATAGTGGTGAAGCAAGATACTTGGAATTCAGTAAGACATGATGAATTATCACATCATTGTTAAATAAAATGTATTAGAAACTCACAAATTCGATTGCAAACAGATAATGCAAGCAGGTTATTGCAAGATGATAATCCATCCAATCTGAATTCTCAATTCTCTATATATACATAGATGTATCTATGTATATATATCTGACATTCTTTAATGGATATGAATGTTGATAAGGTTTAGGAACCCTCTGTATTAACAGATTGTAGATAATATTTTTATTGATGGTAATATAATAACTTTCTAAATTAATGATCAGCCAAAAGGTCTGTTCCTCTTGTTTACAATCACCTGAGAAGTCAGGGCATATCTCTTTGCTGTTTAAAACACATGTCTTTGCATACTCAGTGTCTATCTTTTCCTCAGGTTTAGCCGAACAATGTCAATTTATTTTTTTCCAAGTAAACTTAGATCTAATCAGCACTATTTTGGCTCTTTTAAATGTTTTTTGCGTAGTTAGTCAAATAATTTAATACAAATCTATCCATCTAATTTTTAACTGTGTAAATACAGTCTACGATTTGCATTAAGGAGTTGAAAAGATGCCTCTTTTAGTGAAAGCCTCATGAGCTCAGTCTGTCTGCTTAATTCAGATGAAGCTTGATGGATTTCCCATCAATGGATAACTTCGTTTTAATCCAGACTGAGGATTTTTTCCTAGAATAAATGCTCTTTTTCAAACAGGAATTGATTCAGGGAAGTTATACAGTCTGTTCTATATAGGAGGTCAGACCAGATGATCACAGTTTTCCCCTACAGTCTTTTAATCTATGACTCTTATAATAAGCTGCAGTGTAGTGGAGCAGAAAGCAGTGGTACAGATGGGACAGCTATACTCCACAAATTCTTAAAGGCAAGCAATTGCCATCTGGCCAAATTTTAACTTTAGAAGAAGCAATGCGCACGCCTATCAGTAATCCTGTCCGTCTTGTTGCTGTGCTGGGTGAACATAGCAAAGCTGACTGGGCAAATCTGAAGGAAATAGATGTGATTTAATCATGTAATAGATCATGATTATTTTCTTGCCTTGTTTTGCGCAGGAATGAAGGAAGGCAGTACCTCTCATCCCCATCCATAAAACATTAGCATACAAAGAGTATGATCACATAACTTAAAGGCCAGTTTAAGAGGCCAGACAAAGAGTACCAGACTGAAGATAAGGGGGTAAATTCAGACTTGATAATTTTATTGAGATCAGTCAAATAAGTTTAGGTCCTACACTGATAAGATGATTTACAACAAGAACCCTTTTTACAATATTACCCTTCTATATTGTTACTACAATGCGCTGATTATTTTGTCTTTGTGACATTTCAGTGAAATTAAAAAATCTTGTTGACAAGCCTAGGGCCAGAAGCTGGCTCTTACATAGAAGAACGCTTTGTGTTGGAAGCTCTCTGGGCTCCTTTTAAATGTTACACAACCTCCTTCTCAGGGTGGGAATATGGAAATCCTGGAAGGCAGATCAAATAAAGCATCTTTACAAAGACAACAACCCTGTTTGTTAGAGAACTCAACCAGGACCTCCAGGTTGACAGCGGAGTGCTTTAATTACATTTCTCCATAAAAGATAGGCCGTATTTTATGTGTCATGCTAGTTAGAGATGTGATTTCTTTTGGGGAGAAGGAAAGCGGGTCAAAAATATTTATAGAAATGTTGTTCTGCAAAGTAAGAACAATAAATTATTTTCTATTAAAAAATGGTGTTTATTTCCCATCCTCCAGCACTCACTTTTATTGCTGATGGAGTTTCACACTAAGAGAATGAATGGCACAACACTTAACAATATCAACAAGAAATTGTTAAAAATAGTGATAAATCTCTGTTTTGATAAAAGACTTGGAGTACTCTACTACATACATTTACACAATTGTTCTGAAAGTGTCTTATTATTATTATTATTTTGGAAACATTCTAATGACTAATTTACCTGTCTGTGTCATTCTCATTTCCCCCTTTTTTACATTACATTTTCAAGTTAGTATATGCCATTTTGTAACATATATAATGCTATAATGCTATAATTTTATTTATTTATAATAAAGAGGGATACCTTCTGCTTTTTCTTTTTTGTTGTTGTTATTGTTGTTTTTATTTATTCACAGAAAGGCTGTAGTCTTACTGGTCAGATTAAATGCTAAATATTATTGATTTCTTATCTGTATGATGATTGTCAATTCCAGAAAACTCAGCAAGAGACAGTGAACCAGATGCTGTAAAGTGAAGATTTTTTTTCCTACCTTGCTTTACAACAGCATAAGAATCTTTCAGATAGAGTATCCATAGATATGTATTTAATCTCTTTTATTCATACAGTACCTTAATGTTCACAAGCCACAAAATTTTGAAGGCTAGGAAAAAAAGAGCAGTTAGAGAAGTCATGTGAAATTAAGGCAGGAAAAATAAACCTTCTAATCTTAAAGACAATTTTGAGAGTCTTAGTATAAAAATAAAATTGTTGAAAAGAGAGGAAGTAGTCAACCTGCCTTTTCAGTCAATGTTTTTCATCATTGCTAAACCCTGCACTCCCACAAGGACTTTAGTCTGATCTTCAAGGATCATTCAAGTGCTTCACTGAAGCTATTCGTATCATTACTCTACTGGACTGTTGCTGCTGCTACTGTTTCTCTTCTAATTACTAGCAATGTTTTACCAATTTTGTATAAATACTAGTATTAAACTTCCTATTGTGTTTGAATTACTGGTAACAGCCAGCCCATTGTTTTCTAAATAGCTGTTATATTTTTGAATCATAATTGCAGCAAAGTTTGGCTCTGCGGGAGCCATGACCTGAAACAGTTGAGAGATATGGGCTTAAAAAACAATTCCATCATGTAAGGCCGGAGCTTGAGCCTTCAGCTCGTGGCACTGCACAAAATGATAAGCTGACTTCCGTGGCTCCCAGGGCCAAAGAAGTTTGTGGTGCAGCACAGGAAACTGAGGTGCAAAGCATCTCTTTCCTCTCCTGGTGCTGAGCCATCTGTTCGCAGCTCTGGCCTATCATGAAAAAATTATCTTGATTGCTGCACTAACCTGTGGCGGCTGGCAGTGCTCCCAAGTGGCTTGTGCTGCAGAAAGCAATTGCCAGAATAAAAGCTTGTCCTGCCACATGGCTTTTTGAGGCACAGGATTGGAACCCTGATTAACACTCTATTAAAAGATCTAAGGATGATGCGTGATGGGGTTTTGATTTTGCATTGGTGGTCTGTTTGTGTTGCAGGATTTGATTCTGCAGTGAGAGAAGGGTTTGCAAGTGTGGGCTTAGCTTTTCTTTTTCAAAAACTGGGAGTGCCTGGAGCAAAAGACATATTTTTCCACACTATTTAGACTCAAATCACAGTATTATCAGGAAAATGTGCACTGGCCTCGTTCAATTAGATAAGAACGTATTGAATGGCTCATTTGATTTAGAAGGCAGGATAGCTTAATAAAGAGACAGATCCATCTGTAAGAATTCAGCAGTAATAATAAGGTATTTCTACTTGATCAGCATAAAGTAGATAATGTTCTCATTAGAAGAGAGTGCTTTTAGAGATTATATTATGTATGCTTTTTAATGATCAAGAACAAAATTTAGCACATTATAATTAAATGTCAGCTTAAAGAAAAATGAAACCAGTGGAATAGCTATGTATCTGATCTTGTAATCTTTTCTCAAGTAAAGGTAACATGTTGGAATCCTCCTATAAAAAACAGTGCATAAAAATCTCTACATTGCAGTCAATTAAAGGACAACTATTGTCGTATAATGTAAATATTTAATTCCTGCCGTAGGAATTGCTGAGAACTTTATTGTTCTTTGTATTTTGTGGCAAAAACTCCACTGGACTATGGTAACAACATGATTGTGTTCCTTGTAATGTGGGAAATTGCCGCAGCAATTCCTTATGTCACGTATTGTAGATATAGCACTTTATTCAAAGCTGCTACTTTTATTTGCCTCTGATGAAGTACATTCAGCCATATTTTGAAACAAAAATAGCTGACACAGTGATTCTTGGCCTTTTATTTTCCATTAATTGCTTTTTGGTTGGACTGATCAGTTTAACCAGCCCCTTGAACCTTATCCTGTATCTCCAGGATCCCCTGGTTCTTTCTACTGGCGTAGAAGCGTTTGTGGGAATTAGACCTGATCCAGGTTACAACTTCTTGACGCGGGCACTTTCCTATGCTTAATCAGTATAAAATTCAAAATGACATATTAGATAATGATGTGTTGCTTTTTTTTTTTGCTCTAATTGAACAGGAGCATTTTGGAATTCAGCTTCCTTCAACACTGAGACATCCTATCTTCATTTCCCTACTTTCCATGGAGAGCTCAGTGCAGATATGTCATTTTTCTTTAAGACTACTGCTTCCTCAGGAGTGTTTTTAGAAAACCTGGGGATTCGAGACTTCATAAGGATAGAGTTATACTGTAAGTAATGCCACCAAAGGGCTTTTTATTATTTTATTTTATCTTTCAATTGGACTAAATTAGAATTTAGTTTAGAGAGAGAATATTTTTAAAATGTTCTCCGGTTTTATTACTGTTGTACTGCTGTTATTGTAGTTTTTTCACTTCCAAATAATGTTCCAACCATAGGACAGAATTTAATTTACAAATGTACCTTCCAAGAGTATTTAGAGACTG